TGACTAGTCTAAGGGGTACACCACTAAGCCTGCTTCACAAAAATTTATTATATTTTTTTGAGGAAAAAAAATTTCAAATTAAAATCTCCTAACATTTTAAAATCTCCTGACATTTTTAAATTTAAATTAAAATCATTTAACATTTTTAAATTCGAATTAAAAAAATCTTTTTAATATTTTTAAATTCGAATTAAACAAATCTTTTTTAACATTTTTAAATTCGAATTAAAAAAATCTTTTTAACATTTTTAAATTCGAAGTAAAAAGCTTTTAAATTTTTAAATTCAAATTAAAATATTTTAACATTATTAAAATGTTTACATTACCAAACGAATGTCTTGTTGAAATATTTAATAACCTTTATCATAAAAATTTATTTTCATGCCTTCTCGTAAGTCGTCAATGGTGTAGAAATGCCGTACCAATATTATGGAGCAAACCTTCAACCTATTTTAAAGATAGAAGACTTATAAACGTATGTCTTTTAGCATTAAATGCAGAAGAAAAAGCACCATTAATACAATTTAGAATTACTTTTCCAAGATCCAAACCGTTATTTGAGTATACATCTTATGTTACTTTAATTGACGATAATTTGAACTGTGGAATTATAAATTGGCTTAATTACGAAGGTCATGGAACTTATAATTTATCTAATTTAACTTATTATTCTAAAGAATATGCAATTAAATATTCTTTAATTGCTATGTTTTTAAGAACAAGTAAGAAACTTAAAGATTTGGCTATTTATGGACTTTTAAATAATATTCTTTGTGATAATATAATAAAGTTGATTACTGATTTTCTTTATCGAAGCACTAAGATTACCACACTCATTCTTTATAATAGTAATCCTAGTTTATGTGGTATTAACGCATTAGCTAAAGTTCTTGCAGGAAATACTGCTTTAACTTCATTAAGTATTCAATATTGCATGCTTGGTTTTGAAGAAGGAAAAGTACTTGCAGAAGCTCTTGGTAAAAATACTTCCCTAACTCATTTAGATCTTAGTTATAATCAACTTGGTTCTGAGGGTGGAATTGCTCTAGCTGATGCACTTTGTAAAAATTCTACTTTAACATCTTTGAATCTTAGTGGTAATCATTTGGGTCCAATAGGTGGTAAAGCATTAGCGGACGCCCTTTATAAAAATACTATTTTAGCTTGCTTAAAACTTGGTAACAATCAACTTGGAGTTGAAGGTGGAAAAGCATTAGCTGAAGTTCTTTGCAATAACACCACTTTAACTTTCTTAAATCTTAGCAATAATCAACTCGGTTTTGAAGGTGGAAAGGCGTTAGCTGATTCACTTCACAAAAACTTTATTTTGACTTTTTTAAACCTTAGTAATAATCAACTTGGTCATAGAGGTGGAAGAATATTAGCTGAAGCACTTTATAGAAATACTTCTCTAACTTCCTTGGTTCTTTATGATAATCAAATTGGTGCCGAAGGAGGACTGGCATTATTAGATGCTCTTGGAAAAAATACCTCTTTAATATTTTTGAATTTTGATTTTAATCAATTTGGTTCCGAAGTAGAGAAAGCATTAAGAAATGCTCTTAAAAGAAATTTTTTCTTGAAAAGCCTTAATAATAATTAGATATAGAATATATAATATTTTTTAGATATTTTTATCATTATAATTTTAATGATTTGAAAATATACAATCTGTAAATTATTTTTTTTACTCACACTAAAAATACAAAATTTCTTTTATACAATTATCGGCATTCTCGTACTTGATTGCTTGACAGATTTGCTTGTTATCTATGATATATACTAATTAATCAATTGAGATGATGACCGTTGAACCGATTGGATTAAGCACGTAATTCAATCACTGCACGGAAATTTATACGAAACTCGCGGAACCTAATCATCGAAAAGAAAATGAAAACTTTTAACACGTAATCATAAAGCAACAAAATACTTGAAAGGATAAATCAACCCATTTTTGCAAATATGTAATTTATTTTATTCTTTTATTGTAAAATTTGTCGAGCAAAGACAATTGCCTGAAATGTATATATTTACAACATGAATGTAGATACGTATTAATAAACAAATTTCATTAAAAAATGCTTTAAGTGTGACAATCTGGTATTAATGACTACGTAATATTTGCTTAATTTATACTATACAATTTGCTATATAAAAAACTTTCGAATATAACACTTTTGATTGTTCGAATATAACATCTGGGGAAAAAATTGATTGTTCGAACATAACACCTTGGAAAAAAAAATTGATTTTTCGAACGCTACACCTTAGAAAAAAGTTGATTTTTCGAACACCTTGGAAAACAATTGATTGTTCGAACGTAACACCTTTGAAAGAAATAGATTGTTCAAACGCAACACCTTGGAAAAAAAGTTGATTTTCGAACGCCTTTGGAAAAAATTGAATTTTCGAACGTAACACCTTGGAAAAAAATTTAATCTACGTTAAAACTGGCTTAGAATAAGGTTAAGAAACAACCATACTACACTGAAATTGACTAAAATTGCATAAAAAAAAATTTTTTTATTTGAACATGAAAAGTGAATAATTAGACCAGTTTCCGAATTTTCCGAATTTTAGAAATGAACTTGAGCTTGGAAACGGTTTTATTTTTCATATGTTAAACCCGGTTTTAATCGGTTTGTGTAAATGAAAAATAAAACCAGTTCCAAACTCTAAAGTGAACGTTTCTTACATTGGATTTTCATTGGCTAATTTTGGTCGGATCATCACGTGGTAGGAAAATCGATTACGCCATTGTATAGCTAATCCAAGTTAACGTGTAACACGCAAATTCAAGAAAAGACAAACGCAAAGAAATTATGTATATTTTAGGAATCAAAATTAACATCATTGGTTTATGATCACATTTTATGTGTTCGGAAAGTTTCAACTTACGGGATTCAATTGGGATACAATTTCCGATTGTAATATTTAATTGTTTTTTTAAGAGTAATAATATCTGAAAGTGAATTCCGTAAGTTGAAAAATTTAATGCATAGCGTTACTCACATGACTAGTACATACTACTAATTTGATATGTAATACGTCATTGGAATAATCAATCCCACATTTGTGCATATCATTCACATTTCTTATAAATAGGCTCCAACAGTGGAAAAATAGATCCCCATCTTTGTGCACGGGCATTATCTGCGCCAGTGAGGATTTATCCGAGGCCAGATTATTGCTAATTGCAAACTATACCAATAATCTGTCTCCACGACACCCTTCGGGGGGTCGGGGAGCAATTTTTTTAAGGGAGTCATCCCTTATTATATTTTTATAAGCGGGGTGGGCGATGGATGTATCATTGACGGTATAAGGCAAAGGCTAGAAGTTAGGCCACACAAATTTAATTTATTGGTTCTTTCGTAACATTTTTATTATTATTATATTATTTTTTAATTTTATATATAAGGCCATACAAATTTAATATCTTGATTTTCATAACGTGAAACTTTTAAACAGCCGACTTTTTTTTAAGAATTTCATATATAAAAAATTTTGTAAATTTTTTTTACAGCTATTATCATTATTTCTGGGACACTTGAAGAATTTTCAGATGACCGAAATATCCCCTGCTTCATTCGGTAAATTACCTAACTTCTCGGAAACTATATCGCTGTCTCCGGACCTTCAGTCCGAAGACAGCGATGTAATTTCCGGAGAGCTAGGTAATTACCGAATGAAGCAGAGGATATTTCTGTCATCTGAAAAATTTTTTTTCCAAAATTTCAAATTTTGACCCGGCCGGGTTATGAAAACCAATTAACTAATTGTGCATGGTCTAACAATTCATTAAAAAAATTAAAGGCTTACTGGTTATTAAAACATAAAAATTTTTTTGTAAAATTTTCAAAATTTGACCCGGCCGGGTTACGAGAACCAATTAATTAATTTTGCATAAAATTTAAAACTAGGGTTAGAATTTTTCCGAGCATAAAATTTAAAAATAGATTTAGAAATTTTCTTTTTCACAAACTATATATCTTAATCTCTCTATGCCTGCACCAAACTTTTTTTTTCTTTTTTTTTTAAAAAAAAAGTCGTTCCCATAGCTTTTTGTACCAAATTATTTTTGTGTAATCTTTTGTAAGTAGAACTTGCAAAAGATAATTATCGATAAAAACTCAATAAACTCGATGATTTTTAAAGAAGACGCTTTCAAATCAGTTGAGATCATGGAGATTTTGACAATTCAATCGGTATTATTGAATAAGTTTAAGACATATCTTGGTTCTCAGGCGGGTAATACCGTATTTACGCGCAGGGGCGTTATTTCGCGTAAATACGGTATGTGAAATATTGTCTTACATAAGAGATGACTAATAAAATCTTACGAAATAAGTGAAGATCTAGGTGAAAATTAAAATTTGCGTATTCCATTAAGTGCAGAACAAGATTTTTACATTTCAAAAAAAAATTTTTAACATGATTCAGTTTTTGATTATCAATTTTCTTCGCATCTATTTAACTACGTATGACTTAAAGCTTTTATACGTTCTATCAATTAGGTCAGTTTCAATTTCTTTTTTGTCACTTCCTTAAGTTCTTTGTATATAATATTAATCTCAAAAATTATATGCATCTGTTGCTGCTCGATTCTGATGAAATTCGAGAAAACCATACAAAGTCAATTTAGAAACAATATAGCAGTATAGATGAACCATTAATAAAAGGTATTATTAATCAATTTAGTATGGGTGTCACCTATACTGCAAGAGATACCAAATATATTGTAAATCATAAAGGTGTGGTATTTTTTAATCAATTATAGTAGTTTCATCAATAGATTTGGTGACATCGCTGAAACATTTAGATAATATTCATCAAAGCGAATATTATTTTTTTAAAATCAAGCTTAATTCTTTCCTGATTAAAATCCAAGATTTCTTTACATAATCTTTAAATGAACTTGGAAAATGGAATGTAATCATACAAAATTCAAGTAGAAGTTAAAATATACAGTAACACCTTCTATTATAGTAACGAAGTTATACCATAGAAACGGGACAATCGCCTTGTTTATCCGGTTGAGCATTTTTAAATGCATCCAATTTGTACAAATTGTCAGCAATTGATTGAATTCGAGGGAATTTTTTCATATCAACTCCAAATCTTTGAATGAATATATCAATCAATTAATTTAACACCTCAAATTATATCTTAAACAAAACATTACGAAGATTCCAAACCTCATGGTAGCATTATAAACCTGTGGTAAAAGACAAACGTCTGCCAAGGTAACTTCATCGCCAACACAATATTTACCAGACGTTTTTTCAAGTTGCTTTTCAACTCCTTTAGCAAAAATTCAGAAAATATTTTCATCAATACTTTTTTGTACAATGGTGCGATGAAAATATGATAATTAAATACCTTCAAAACCAATAGTAATAAAATGTTTAGCCCATTCATTTTTATCGCCCCCCAAGCTTTCAACTTGGTTTAAAACTCTTAAATTTTGGATTGGTTGAATGTCACCGGCAATTGCTTGAATTAGAATTCTAACCTTTTAGATAACGAACAATTGATCATTTCAAATATAGTAACAACAAAAATAATAAAAATAAAAATAAAAAGTTATAATAATTCAATATACCAAAGCTCTTTTGCCTGGTTCTTTAGGTAATAACGTCTTGTCTGGCCGAGTTTCTTCCAAATATTCAAGTATTGGAATTGATTGGGTTAATACAAGTCCATCAATTTTTAAAGTTGGAACGGATTTATAAGGATTGATTTCAGAATATTCTTTTTCTTTCTAATTTAATTAATTTACGAAATGTTTTATTGTAGGAAAAAACATTTTATCCATAATATTTATCAAACATACCTGTTCTCCTGTGGATAAGCTAACGTAACAATATTCACAGTCGATTCCCTTCCAGTTCAAACATGTACGAACTCTCCAAGCACAAGATGACCTGTAATATGTGTAAAGAATTGGTTTTTCAATCGACATTTTGTCTGATCTAAGTGAAAATTCGACTTTTTTTTCTCTCTGCAAATTTGTTCCCAATAAAAATTCACACGGGCTGATTTATTTATTTATTTTCATATGTGGAAAATAAACATCTCCTGCATAAAAATTCTCCTTCACATGATTTGTTACGTAATCACGATTTGTCAATTAACTTGCTAAGGGCACAAAATTTCAGGGCACAATGAATTAGGGACCTTAATTAAATTAAAAAAGCCAACGTCTTATTTAGCTACTTGTGATAATCAATATAGCATTGATTTCGGCTGGTTTTTTTTCCTATTGCCGAAATCATGTTAAACGTATGGTTTGGGACGTCCCAAATAGTTTTGTTTACATCACTACTTTATATGTATCGAAAAAAAGTATGATAATCTAAGGAATGTTATAGCTTTCGAAAACGTAATCCGTAAAAATGTTAAGATTTTCTTAAGCCGACCATAGTTTTTTTTTTTAATTTAGATATAAGTTATCTATCGCAAAGTAATTTAAGGTGCTCAAAAATAGACAAATAAATAAAAGATGAAAAATCCGATTCTAAAATCTTGATTATCATCACTACGTATCACGTCTCATTGGGGTGTTAAATGTACTATGTAGATCAAATATATCATATAAAAATCAAATAGATGATTTTTTTTCGTGTAACATTAACGATGATCTATAGAAAATGGTATAAATTTTAACGAAAATTATTAATATTATTGAAATTTCTTAAAATTAATAAAAAAACTCTCTTTTAGTTTTAAATATAGGTTCTGTTGCGCAATCGAGCAAAGTTTTTAAGCCAGTTAATATGTAATTTATAGAGGAGATACAATTTCAAATTTGATAATTTTTTATAATCGTTTCATATAAGATTTTCAAACTTCAAGTCGTATCTCCTTCGTAAATTACATATTAACTAGTTTGAAAATTTTGCTCGACGGCACAGGAGGACCTATATTTTAAACTAAAAGAGAGTTTTTTAAAAAAAAATTTTTTATTAAATTTTTATTTAATTTATTGAAATAATCTATTTGTCGCCGGCAGTGACAGTATTTGGATTTTATTTATAGTGGTATTCAAAGTTAGAAGGGTCATACTTTATAGTAAAATTATGCGAGGAATATTTTTTGTTAAGACACGGAAGTTGATTTCATAGGCATAATTTTGAGCTATTTTGATTTGAAATGTTGATGTTTTTGTAACTGCCGGTGACAAATAGATCCGCTCATATTAAATTAACGATGATCAAATAGTTTAGCGTATAGATCATTACGAAAAAATTATCTAATTGATTTTTATATGGGACTATACATATGTTTGATCTACATAGTACATTTAACATCCCAACGTCTCATTCAGGTCAGGGCTTAGATACGTACTGTACGCAGATTTGCTTTTTTATCAGAAGATAAATCTAAGGTAATCTGCTGACTAATGAATATTTGTAAATGCGTTTCGTAATTAAAAAAAAAAAAAAAAGTGCAGTAAAATCTCTATAAGTGCACACGTTCTTGGGATCAAACATTAACGATGTGCACTTGGAGAACAATAAGAAAAAGTACATACAATATTTAATTTCTTTAAGATGCACAGGTCAAATGAAGACATATCGGGATATGTATAGCCGTGGAAATATCAGATCCATATCGGGATCCCGATATGGATCCGATATTAGTAAAGATAAATCGGGCAAATATAGCAAGATATGATATTCATATCGGAAGATCAAAATATAACAAAATGACGCTATAGGTAAGAGAAATTAATCGGAAATAAATCGGTGGATACTGATAGTTATATCAGTGATTCGAAAGTTGCCTGGTATTGTACTTATAAGCATCAATAAATTTAATTGCA